ATATATCCAAAAGCTCCAGACCAGGATGGAGCGACCATCATCTTGTCTGTTTCCTGTGTATGCTCCTAATCTCTCTTACTTTTTAAAATAAATAAAACTTGTGACATGGTTGCCTGGGTGGCCTTATGAATCTCAGGGTCAGGATGAACATTTCTTAAACCTGAGAAAGTAACATGCAGTACCATCAAAAGAAGTCCCGTCACTTTTCTTCTTTTTAGTGAGGGAAAGAGAAGGCTTTGTACAGTAGATGCTGCCCAGTTATCTTTTAGATCAAGATGATTACAGCTCAGTACAGTATGACTCCTAGTGTTACTCAATTCCAAGCAGTAGAGTTACAGGAAGGAGGACAAGTCACAGAAATCTTCAGGCTAAAATATGACTCATTTAGCATTGTACAGGAAGACATGCAAAACTTTCCTGGTACAATTCAAAGGAATAAACTTGTGGGACATAAGTTAAGAAGGCAATGCTGCAAAGTGAAGGAGAGGGGATCCAAATTTGCTGGTAGTTTTATAATCACTAAAAGGGAACCCATCCATTTCTAACAAAAAAATCTGAAGCAAGTGATTCTCTGAAAAAGTACTGCTAATTCCCAGCCAAGTAGGCAAATGGTAGAACTAGTTTTGAAAGTTCCTTTATGTTTTATAAGAACTGCCAGCAAATCTTTTCTCGTCAACTTATCACCTAAGGAGATGTTTTGCAAAAAGGATTATTCAAAGACGATCTTCTGCCTGTATTGGCTTAAATCGCTAACAAAAATTCTGGAGACTCGTTGGTCATAATTCATCTTGCAGCTTTAGTTCTGTCACTATGGAATTTCACTATTCTGGCAATTTCAGGAATGTTATAATAGAGTTGTACTCAAATACCCAATGAAGGAGATTTCCCACTCTCACCCCCAGGCAATAAACCACCTTTGTACAAACTCTACATAAAAGGTTAATATGAAAGATGGAACAGTTGTTGTAATGATCTGGCTTTCTGATCTCTATACCTATTAGCATAATATTGTTTTATGGTTTGATTATACATATATTTCAGTCCGCTTTGGACTTCAGCCAGTTTTGGAGTTTACACCTGTTGCACCATCCTGATATCTTAGATCAGGGGTGTCAAACTGATGTCATCACGGTGGCATCACGTGACATATCGGGACTTTTTCCCCCTTCGCTAAACCGGACGTGGGCGTGGCCAGCGTGTGATGCATCCGGCCCGTGGGCCACAAGTTTGACAGCCCTGTCTTAGATGAAAGGCAGATTAAAAAATGCTATTACTCACTTGAACACACACACACACACACACACACACACACACACGGTTTCTTTTAAAATAAAATTGCATCTACACCAGAAAATCACAAATGAGGAGTCAATTTCTCAGAAGTGAGATACTATCTTGTCATAAAGTAGAATACATTGATTATTCTGCTTTCATTCTGCTTCTTCTTATATCTGCCTAAAATTTCTATGAACTGTGCATTCCCCGAAATTGCAAAGGGCAGGAGATTTATTTCAAAATGTTTCCTTTGGCTTTTTTAGCTTTAAATGAACTGCTATTTGTTATGATATCAGAGGCTGCTATTCTAGTGTACTTAAATTCTTAATTAATTTAGACCATGTGTGTGTGTGTGGGGGGCAGCTGTGGCCCCTTTGAATTCTTATCTACACTAAAGTGCTCATCGTAATTTCCACATGAGAAGATTCTTAGTGGTGTTGCTGGTTGAGGATGGACATTGTTGCTTTCCACATCTTGGAAAATGGCAGGTTGTAAAAGTGAGGGCATAGTGTTTGAATGGAAAACGGGAAGGACTACAGCTGACCATTGGCCATGCCAGCTGAGGTTGCAGTTCAGGGCCAGGAGTGCCACACTACAGGCATAACAAATTAGAACTTTTGTGACTCTTGACACATGGTGATATAGTCCTGCAAATTTTATTCAATGCTAGTAGAATATGGGTAGGAAGCTACCTGTTTTCAGATAAATTGGGAAAAAGAAGACAGCATAACCACACAGAAGACTTTGGATCTGGAGTGGCTATATTTCTGCCAAAAGTCCAGCGTTACTGGAGAGGGAGAGGGCAGAAGTGATATAGGGCAGTGATCCCCAACCTTTTTTACACCGCGGCCCGGTACTGGCATCAGCTGGGCACCGCGGCCCGGTACCGGCATCAGCTGGGCGCTGCCATCTTTTTTTGATGAAAAAGTGCTTCCGGTGAGCTTTCTACCCGGAAAAGCTCACCGGAAGCGCTGGCGCCGCCATCTTTTTTTGATGAAAACGTGCTTCCGGTGAGCTTTCTACCCGGAAAAGTTAACCGGAAGCACTTTTCATCAAAAAAAGATGGCGGCGCCCAGCAAGCCAGCGGCCCGGTAGGAGTTGTTCCGCGGACCGGTACCGGTCCACGGACCGGTGGTTGGGGACCCCTGATATAGGGGGTTGCACGTATGAAATATACAATTTGGAGCTGTTCTGAAGGTATTGATTAAGAATGGGCACTTTTCCCCTGCTATCATTTCCTTTTAAATATTTCATTAGTGATGCTTTTCAGTCAATATGTTACATTCATTATGTTGCTTTCACATGAGAGGATCCATATCATTATGGACAATAGATTAGAAGTCAGGGATTTAAGTTGTTAACCTCAGTTTGTATATAGTGACCTTTCAAAATCAGAACATAATCCCCTTCTTGCAATAGACTAATATGGTTCTCATTTTAATGCTTATATTTCTTTGGTGAGATTTTAAATGTAGTCCCACAGTTATTCCTTTGCCAGCATTGCAGGAGAAGAATTAGCACAATTAATAGAGAAGTAAGGTTTGCATGATCCGTATGTAGGTTTTTATTTTCTCTTGGCTTTAAAAAAATGCTTGTATATGTGTGTGTGTATGTATATTTCGTGGACAAACACATGGAAATCTTTAAAGGGTCGGCTTATTGATGGATGATGCATTTTCATGATATTTTGGTTAAAAATTTGAGGGTCCATTTATTCTCAATTTATATAGTAATAAGATTTCTCTTTGGAAGAAAAAAATTGACCTAAGGAAAAAGTGTACATTTAGTGACGTCTTGAAATGTAAAAGACTTAATTCTGTGCAGTGCTGTATATAGTATATATCACATAGTTAAATTAGGAATAGTGAACTTGTTACCCTTAATATAATTTGGACTACACATTTTCTGTACTTGGCTAATGGTCAGGGACTACGTCACATGTATGTAAAACATCTGGAGATCATCAGGTTTCATCCTTGAAGAAACTGCTTCCAGAGCTACAATTTAATTTGTTGGTTCAATATGAAAACATAGCAGGAACCAATTAAATGTTTTACAGAATTCATGAGTAGATTTGAAAAAAAAATAGAATAGCCCTTTCCTGCTTTGTCTTCCTAGGAAAAAAATTTAAACAGAAGATTCTTCAGAATCTGGAGTTTCTGATAGAAATACTTAGATTAGATTAGATTAGATTAGATTAGATTAGATTAGATTAGATTAGATTAGATAGATAGATAGATAGATAGATAGATAGATAGATAGATAGATACTTGTTTTCCCCAAAATAAGACCCAACCAGAAAAGAATCCTTATTTGATTTTTTAGGATGCTTGTAATATAGGTCCTATCCCAATAATAAGCCCCAGTTAAGATGGTCAGCCAAATGGATGCATTTAGTACTATATTTTCCCTAAAATCAGACCTAACCAGAAAATAAGCCCTAATGTATGTTTTGGAGCAAAAATTAATGTAAGATCTGGTCTTGTTTTCAGGAAAACATGGTAGATGGAGGGGGGAGCACTTTGTGTTAACTTTCCTAATTTGCCATCCTATTTCATTCATGCATATTTTATTACAAATTGTAGCAATTATTTTTAGAGCCCCAGGTTGATGCAGACCAATGGAACAGAAGGAAAGCAGGGAGAATCTTTCCTATCTTTTGTAGTGAACCATGCAAAATTTTATATAACCCTATCTGATTGTAGTCTCCAATTCTCATTCCTCCCAGTAAATTCAAGGCATAACTATATATAAAGGAAATGTCTGTTTGACTAACTGTCCTTCTGACTTTATTTCTGCTATTGAATTTTTTGTGCAATTCTGTTGTAGAAGTGTATGTGTAGATCCCAACATATGGTATATCTAGTCTCATTTTTCTCTATCGTTTCTTTTTTATTTGCTATGATAGGCTTTTGTTTTCTAATAAAGAACAAGGCTTGTCCTTCTCTGATGGCAGTTATTTTGGAACTCTATGGGATACAGTTTCCATTAACAATACTTGTTCTTCCCTGTGCTCTATAATGTTCTTTGTACCCATCTTGAGCAAATGTGCACATCGCTGTGTATTTTCATTAAATTTTCAACTTTGATAGCCTTGATACTATATAAGAGCTGTTTAAGTTGGTTCCATTTGGAGCACTAATTTATTTTGGCTAAAATAGAATCTCATCCACAAATGTACAGTATATCACAGTAAATCTGTTTACTGCAAGCCTTTTTCCTCTCTTGCTGCAACAGATTTATGTGGCTCTCTTTTTAAATGTTGTATACATTGGTGGCAAACCATACCTTATGCTCCTTTAACTATGAATTGTGCATGGATTTCAGTCTTGCATTTCTAAGTAGATAAAAGCATGCATTTGTTATTGGGCATTTTATGTAGCAGTAATATATGATAGGAGAGACGAAAAAACAAACTCTTCTTGAATTACCCACAACTTCATTCTCTAGTTTTACCGTACGTGAAAAACCTCTCAACCTTGACATTGTTCAACATGAGTCATATCTTATATTAGAGGGTGGGGAGAGGAAAGAATCTATCATTGCTCTTTTGCAATTTTTGGCTTGGAAAGCTTTGGATAAACTCTGTTAACTATGACATTTAAAAAAAATATCACATAATTGCAAACCATGTTGTTCTGCTTATTTACACTTATTCATATGTAATCTCTCTCAATCTTCAGCCTGTTGTGGTCACCCAGGTTTGCTTTCTGTTTTTTTCACAGAATGCCATGAACTTGCCTCCTGATAAAGCAAGGCTACTCCGACAATATGACAATGAGAAGAAATGGGAGCTGATCTGTGATCAGGTAAGTATAGCAGCCAAAAGGCACTTTTAAGGTAACAGAGTCTCCTAAGCTGATTTTACAAACACTATTCCAAGGTGGTGATGACAGGAACATGGGAAGCTGCCTCGTACCAGGTCCAATGAGATTGGTCTCTTAAGGCAGATAATTGCTTCCTGTTGACTGGAAAGCAAGGAGTGTTTTGTTCCTATTGCCAATAATTGGCGATTCCAGGGACAGAATCCAGAACTTTATGCTTATGAATCATGCACTTTCCTGATAAGATCTGTACCTCTCCAATTGTGGAACTTTTTGAAATTTCTTTAAAAATCAACACAGAAATAGAAATATCTTTGATTTCTGCTTGGCTTAAAAGCTTCCTCCCCATCTCTCTTTCTCTACACACACACACACACACACACACACACACAGGTGTTCCAAAGGTGCTTTTTCTAGAGGCAACTGGACTTTCTTCTTGTTTTTTCTTTTGAAGACATTTTGCTTTTCATCCAAGAAGCTTCTTCAGCTCTGACAGGATAGTGGGGAATGGAAGGATTTATATTCCTTGCATATTTCTTGATCCTTAAATCCTTCCATTCCCCACCATTCAGTCAGAGCTGAAGAAGCTTCTTGGATGAGAAGCGAAACGTCTTCAAAAGAAAAAACACAAGAAAGTCCAGTTGCCTCCAGAAAAAGCACCTTTGGGACAACCATGACCTGGATGACCGAGAATCTCTACAGACACAGCACTTTGGGGTGTACCGACACTATTTAGAAAATATGCCTTTACTTTAGCTCTTTGCCTAAGATGAGCTGGTTATGTTTCTTATTCAGTTTTTCCCACCCTAAAGCAAGCATCACAAGTAGGCTTACTCTGTAATGATCATAGTTGCCATCGTTACGATTAGCCCTTAAAGACCATCTTGGTCCTAGGCCAAAAAAAGTAGCTGTCCATTTGGAAAAGAGGCTCAGAAGCTGCAGAATAAGTCATGCTCAAGACGTTGATGCCAATTGGTCAGAAAAGAGCAGGGGAGAAAATAGTTGAAATAACATGTAAGGCTTCCTTTTCTAAAATCCACCTGAATTGCATCACTTCAAGTTTCAGAGCAGCTCAGAGCCGAAGCCCTAATTCATAGCATCCTTCCTATCTATGTATTTGAATATGTTAGGGTGTTTTGTTCTGGATTTGGGTCTGGGGGTCTTTTTTTTTAATCCTCCTGGCATTCTCTCTGTGTGACATAGAATAGAAATGGATTAACATTCCAAACAGGCAGCACAGGGTTTCACTTTTTCTTCTTTCTTGACCCAGTGACCTTGCCTCTAAAAATGATACGATCACAACAAATTTTAGTTCATTCAGTTACTTGGTGAGGTTGTTTGCTGTGACTTCCCTTGCCTGGAACTCTTGTCTATCAGATTTCTGCACAGGTTAAGCCACCATGCTTAATTTAAGTGTTCCAGAACATAGGCAAGAAAGTGGCATGATTTAATATAGGTAGCTCTCATTTAACAACTGTCTTGTTTAGTGACTATACACAGTTACAGTGGTGATGACCGTTGCAACCGGCCCTCACATATACGACCTTCACAGTTCTTTGAAGTAAAGCTAAAGTAAAATAACAAAATCGTGATGTTTCACTTAGCAACTTACTTAACCAGTTGCCAGTCCCAATGGTGATCACGAAACAAAGACTACTTCTAGTCACTTTTTGATTTTCTAGGACTTATGGAACTGATTTCAGATGAGATACATTCAATCTAGGTAAAAAAAAAAAAAGAAGTAATTTTTTTTGGAAGGAAATGAGTTTATGTTTTGGTCATTGTTCGTTAATTAAAGAAGCTCTTAGAAGAGAACACCTCAATATTTATTTCCAGCTTTAGAGAAGCAAAGCAAATATTTAAAAAATATTATCTAAAAAGAAGAAATCGTTAATCTTGGGAGGACTGTTACTTAACAAAAGAGGACTAGACTGGGCATGTTTGCTTCATGTTTAGCACGCTTGAAACTGACCAGAAAGTTTTTCAGAAGTTACAAAGACGCAACCAGAATTTACTAACTAAAAATTGCTGCTCTGTGGGGTATCCTCTATATGTGCTGGAGAGCGATTGTCAAATAGTTTTAGAATTGCAGAACTATCATCTTATGTTTATTGAGTATCCTATGCAGAACATTTAAACCATTGTATGGCTTACAAATATAAAGTAGTTTACTGAGACACAGTGGCAAATTGTTCAACCTGCTTTATGTAGTTCATTTCCTTGGGCATGTTTATCAATAGCCAGCATCTTTAGAGTAAAAAAATCTATATGAGTTGTATTTTTCCTTATACCTTACACCATCAGCCAGTAGGATTCAAGAAGAATGCAAGAATTATATAAAAAACAAAATAAATAAATAAACTACAGGTAGTCCTTAACTTACAACCATTCAGTTAGTGACCATTTGAAGTTACAACAGCATGAATAAAAGTGACTTACGACTGTTTTTCACACAACCATTGTAGCATCCCCATGGTCGTGTGATCAACATTTGGATGTTTGACAGCTGACATGTACTTATGGTGGCTGCGGTGTCCCGGGGTCATGTGATCACCTTTTGTGGCCTTCTGACAAGCAAAGTCAATAGGGAAGCCAGATCCACCTTTACAGCCGTGTTGCTAACTCAACTGCAGTGATTCATTTAACAACCATGGCAAGAAAAGTCATAAAATCGAACAAAACTCCCTGTAACAATTGTCTTGCCTAGCAATGGAAATTTTGGGCTCAATTGTGATCATAAGCCGAGGACTAGGATACCTGTGTACGGTTGGGGCCTGGACAATGTCACTTATGAGGCTAAGCTTAATTGCATTCATTTACAATCCATTTCAGATTACAATTCGGGAATTTCCCAGTCCGTAGATACACTGATGGCAGGATTGGGAAGACCTAATGCAGAGGTCTCCAAACTTGGCAACTTTAAGACTTGTGGACTTCAAAGCAAAGCAAAGCAGAGCTGGCTGAGGGAGTTGAAGTCCACAAGTCTTAAAGTTGCCAAGTTTGGGGACCCCTGACCTAATGGGAATGGGATAATATGAGAACTACAATGGTCCAGCGAATCTTCTCGATTGGAATAGAAAGTCCCAATTCTTGCTTTCAGTTTCCTCATATTTTTCTGGTGAGGCAGAAATCAAAGCACCCGTCTCCTCAGCGTCTTCTGTTTTAAGGCTTCTTCTACAATACACTGGAATTTTCCTCCTCTCCTGCAGCCTGTTTGTGGCTGACCTATTGACTCCTTTTGAATTATTTACCGGTGGGAATAAAGAGCAGCGGTGGAACAGAAACTTCATAAAGAGATTTAGATGAAGCATTTGGTGCGTGATGTTTTTATAGGTCCAGCAGTGCAAGTACAGCATATGGCTCAAGCTGTTTCCCCAAAAATTGATGTACGGTTTGCACCCAGTCCTGACACGATCCTGTTTGGCTTTGACAGGCTTTTCAAATGGCTTTTGGATTGTGGCCTGGAATCTCTGTGAAATCAGGAAAGGAGGTCAAAAGGGGTGGATTTGGTAAATAAATTAGTACTGGGGCTTTTAAAATGACTGAACAAAAGAAACTGGAACCTTATAAAAAGTCTCTTTGGAAATAGGCGTGAAAAATCTAGTTTCTAATATGACAGATATGGATTGCATATAAATTTAGGTTTTGAATTGGCAGAAATATTATTGTCATGCCTTCACTCAGATGCTTCAGTCAACCCTTTTCCACAATGATCCTCCTCAGTGTAGAAGTGCGATGTGCAAGCAAGGAGAGATGATGAGAACACCCATGGTGAAAATGGAGTTGGACTCTGTGAATGGATCTAACTCAATGTTATTTTTAAGACCTGAAGAATGAAAATGAAAGTTTCCATTTCAACACAGTTAATATTTTTCATTCCAAGACCTCATAACCCCAAATAGTTGTTAATGCTATTAAAGACAATATTCTACTGATCTTGAAAGTTAAGCAGTGTCAACTCTGATTAATTTATGGATGGGAGACCTCCATTAAGCCCTAGGACTGCAAGCTAGACTGGGAGGTGAAAGAACTGGGAGGCAAAAGGCAACCCATTGCAATCTGGATTCCAAGAAAAGTATATGGGTGTGTCCATGAAATTGCAGAGTTAAGTTTGACTTGAAGGAGAAACTTTATGATGTTTGTTAGAAAATCCAGACATTATAGAAGATGTGTAGAGCCTGCAGGCTTTCAGAATATGCAAATACTTAACCTTCCTATTTTTTTTTATAAACTCTATATCTTTTAATGATTCTAGTATGAAACGAAGGAGCTCCCTCCCCCCTCTTTTTAGTGCTACTCTATAGGTAATCAACTAACATCCAAGCAGGCATCTCCATTCTTCAAATGCCTTGTCTCCCCCCCCCCCCCAAAAAAAAATAAGTAAAAGATTGATCTTCCTTATTGTTAATAGCAATCTGCTAATAGGACATTAGCAGCTGAAACAGAGATGGATGAGAGAGCATATAATCATGTGATTAAGGGGTATTCTTGTTTCAGGACTCATGTGACCTTTCCCTTAGGGACTTTGAGATTGGCTGGTCCATCCTCTTGGTTATTCAGCCAGTAGCTTGCTAAGGGGGCTGGGGAAGGGGGCTTTGGAACCCATCACACAGTCCTTTCACACCCTCTAATGGAAGACTGAAGCACTGAAATGCAATTTTAAACAGAAAGAGAACAGACATGCCATTGATCCTATTGAGGTTTATGGACTGGTTTAAAAGTTATATTAAAAATGTGAGTAAATAAGAGAATTGTCTGAGAGATGCAAAAATCCAGACATCTACTTAACGGAAAAAATCCCAGGACATTTAACCAGAGAATCATATTGGGGAAGTGGACTGTTTTGATCCAAGAGTTTCTGTTGTACGGCATTCGTTCTTGACCTTTCAATCACTTTCAAAACATGATAGAAAGAAGATACCCTTATTTTTCTAGAAGAATAATTATATGCATATGGGTATTGTGTCATTATATTTACTTTATTT